GTATAAGAACAGCGGGGAAAAAATGTGTTCCTTGCAGCAGAGCCAAGAATGGGGCAAAAGGAGGCTTATATCAGAGCTCCGTGAGTGTCCTTGTGTTTTTGTTTTTCTCCATGTTACTCTGAGCACAGAAAAAAATCTTGCATAGAGAGGAAGTTGCATATAAATCCCTCATTATCCCTGTTCTTTGAGGTGAGGTGTGTGTGTGTGTGTGTGTGTGTGTGTGTGTGTGTGTGTGTGTGGGGTTGGAATACACCAGGGGGAGGACTAGTTGCAACTGTCTGTCATGAATTGCAATTGAAAAAAAATCACAAAACTCAAAAAGACTAATGTGTGACCACACTCTCAACCTGACAGAAAAGGGGGACTTCATAGCTCTGGACCTTGGAGGGTCGAACTTTCGGATCCTGCGTGTCAAAGTGACACAAGACAAGAAGCAACCAGTTCAGATGGAGAGCCAGATCTATGAGACCCCTGATGACATTACCCATGGGAGTGGGGCACAGGTAACCAAAAATATATTTCTACCATTTTTAAATGTACTAAACATTCTTGTTGTATTCTTCTTATTGAGCCATTCCTCTGTGAAAACATAGCTAAGAAGCAATCAGACATGTTGTTCTCATGCTGTAATCCTTGTCACACCGATGTATCGTAATCACACTTAATTAAGAATATTCAACATTACTGTCTACACACCACACAAAGCAGTTATAGTAAGGCCGACTCAACATTCAGTTTGTGTAAAATGATCTTTGTGACACTTGGGAATAATAAGAGCAACATCAGAACCTACACTGGCCTACACAGGACAGACAGTTGGCGGCCGTGTTGTAACATGATAACCAAAACATGAATGACAGTGTGATTGGTTTAGGCCATGACTTACACAGACAGAACAAGACAGATGCTGTTTAGTGAAATGCTGAACGGACAGCTGGTCAGAAGAAATGTAATGTGATATATCACAGGTTTGTTAACAAAGACGTGCATTTAGATTGTGACTTATTGTATAATATACAACTCTGTAAACAGTCTTCATTGGTGTGATTTTTTTAAAAACAATTTCATGCAAGTATACAATTAATTCAATGACTAAAAAGAAAAAAGAAAAAAAATAATAGTTTAAAAACATGCTAAGTCACAAGTCATGTCAATATGGGTAGATATCAGCTATCTTTCCAGGATCTCATGATGATTTCTAAAATATGCATGGTTTACAGAAAGGCTTTTAACTGTCTGCAATCTTTTATGTTCTTTACATATTTGTTGAAGCATTTTCTAAGTAAAGTTTCAGGGATATTTATGTAAACTGGAAATTGTACTTTAAGGATGCATTAACTTAAAATGATAAAGAAAATGTTACATTTGCACCAAAATCTAGTTACATCACCTTGAAATTCTTAAAAATGTCTTTTTTGTGTGTCTGCAGCTCTTTGACCATGTTGCAGATTGCCTCGGTGACTTCATGGAGAAACAAAAAATCAAGGATAAAAAACTTCCTGTGGGATTCACGTTCTCTTTCCCATGTGCCCAAACCAAACTAGATGAGGTAAACACTTCCAGTTTAAAGGATAACTGTACCACTCACTGTGCTCATTAAACACGTTATCACTACAATCTCAACATGTGTGGCTTGTTTCTTTTGTTAATAGTTTTAGATCAATAGCTCAATAATGCATTATATTTTATTGTATGTATTGTATTTATATTAAAGTATCATATTATTGTGTTAATATATTATAGATAATGTGTTTGGCGATGCCGTGACTGAAATAGCGATGGACATATATTTGAGATTGTCTTTGCCCGTCTTATAGTAAATTAAAGTTAGTCTTGTTTTTCAGGCTGTCTTACTAACATGGACAAAGAAGTTTAAAGCCAGTGGTGTAGAAGGCATGGACGTTGTGAAGCTTCTAAACAAAGCTATCAAGAAACGAGGGGTAGGTTTTTGTCTGTGGATTTCATTTGCAAACATGGATAAGACATCTGCCAGGTGGCTCTTTTTTTCCCATTTTGTTTTGAGTTAAACATAACCTTGTTTTCCCAGGACTACCAAGCAGACATCATGGCAGTGGTGAATGACACCACTGGCACTATGATGACTTGTGGATTTGACGATCAGCGCTGTGAAGTGGGAATCATTATAGGTAAAAACGGATTTTTACCACTGCATTAGGCAAATACAAATGCCTGAGCCAATGACACTTTTAAAGTAGGGGGAAAAACATCTTGCATTTCACATGATTTGATATGCCCCTTTTAAACAAATAGATCCTTTCCCCAGGCTTTGGAAAAGGTATTTAGCACCTTAAAGCCAACAGGTTTTAGTAACCAAGTGTACTTTATCAGTACTTCAAACCATCCCAGGATGTTGAGAATACATTTTTATATTAAAGTTCTAACCCTGAAGGGCAAAAATCAAGCAAAAATAATGTCTCTCGTCCAAGCTTGGGCAAAAATCACACGAGGTCCTGAGCACTGTACAGACGCGTGTACACAGTTCTACATGTGGGGGCGCCAAATAAGCTAAATAGCACACTGCATTCTGCTTTGAAGTGAAATAAGAGTTATGTCAGTTGTGCATCCTTTCAGGAACGGGAACAAATGCCTGCTACATGGAGGAACTGCGTCACATTGACCTGGTGGAAGGAGATGAAGGCCGGATGTGCATCAACACTGAATGGGGTGCTTTTGGGGATAATGGGTCCCTAGAGGACATCCGCACAGAGTTTGACCGTGAGATTGACAGAGGATCGATCAACCCAGGAAAACAATTGTAAGATTCCTTTCTTTTCTTTTTTTAAACTAAAGAAGGTTTTGAAAGTTTAAATATCTTTCAGTAAGTTTACTTACTGTAGACTACGATAAGTACAATGCAAGTTAGTTTTTTAAGTTGTGCAGCCAAACAGTAAACGAACTGCATATCCCATATGGAAAAGATATATATAAATCTTATAAAGTTTGTATCTGTCTTGTGTGAAACTTGTATGAAAAGCATATAAGTGTGAAAACAGATATAAGATCCCTTGAAAAATTATATAATGAAACTTGTATGTTTTGGATACTTACTAAAACAATATATGAAAGTAATGCGAAAGTGGCCACTTTCATGAGTAAATCATGTAAGCCTTATATGATTTACTCATGAAAGTGGCCACTTTCATGAGTAATCACATATAAGTTTTTACTATTTCTTTTCCGTATGGGATAATACACAAAAGTATACCAGTATGCTTAACTTCTTTGGGACTAGTTCTCTTTGTTGTTACACATTGTGAAGTTACTGTACACACACCACTATAGATAAAATATAGCTTTGTCCCTTAAGATTACAGTTGAAAAAAAGCATTCTAGTCTGCAGTGGACTGTAATTTAGATGAATAGAAATTGTAGCTGTGATACCTTATATGAAAACACTGTTGTGTTTCTTTCTGATTAGGTTTGAAAAGATGGCCAGTGGCATGTACATGGGAGAACTGGTACGTCTCATCCTGGTCAAGATGGCCAAAGAGGGGCTGCTGTTTGAGGGACGAATAACCCCCGAGCTCCTGACGAGAGGAAAGATTGAGACGAAACATGTATCTGCAATTGAAAAGTGAGACATGAAGGAATAAAATAGTTTTTCCACTTCCATTTTTCAACAGAAGAGTTAAGACTTTTTTAATGTACAATACTTGTAATTTTAGGACTAAGGAAGGACTGAAGAAGTGCATGGAAATCCTGACAAGGCTTGGAGTGGAGCCCTCAGATGAAGACTGTCTGGCTGTGCAGCACGTGTGCACCATCGTATCCTTCCGCTCAGCTAATCTAATATCTGCAACTCTGGGAGCCATTCTTTGTCGCCTAAAAGAGAATAAAGGAGTTGTGCGGCTTCGTACCACTGTCGGCATTGATGGATCCCTGTACAAGATGCACCCTCAGTGAGTAGGCCATAAAATGGGGACTAAAGGGCGCTTTCCAGAGACGCACATTTAGTTTGGATATTATGCACTCCAAAAAGACCTATGCAGCATAGAAAGGATGTACGCCAGATAATTCTTTGAGTGGCTTCAGATTCAGTCCTAAATGAAAAACTCCAGGTTTTGGTCTGTGTGGAAGTTCAGATCTGCTGCATTGTGAATTCCTAAAATCCTAAGTCACAGTTATCCTGTAATTGTGTAGTGTTTTATATATTTCTGCAGCCTGAATACATAATTCTGATGAAAAATAGATTTTGACACATTCTAATACTCACTTGAAGACTCACGAGGAATTCTTTTGCTCTCTGAACAGATATGCCCGTCGTCTGCACAAAACTGTGCGTCGCTTAGTCCCAGACTCAGATGTCCGTTTCCTGCTGTCCGAAAGCGGGAGTGGGAAAGGAGCAGCCATGGTGACAGCAGTGGCATACCGTTTAACCGAGCAGGCGCGCCACATTCAGCAGACTTTGGCAGAATTCCGGTTGAGCAAAAATCAGTTGTTAGAGGTAAAGAAAAGGATGAAGGTGGAGATTGAAAGAGGCCTGAAGAAGGACAGCCACAAGGACGCTACAGTCAAAATGTTGCCCACCTTTGTTCGAAGCACACCGGACGGAACAGGTAATTAAAATGAGACATACATAGATTCGTTTTTTTGTTAGCTCAGGTCCAAGTCAATCATTCACGCCTGTCTATGTCATATATGAAGGCCAAAGGAAAGTAATTCAGATGGAAATATCAATATCCTTTGATACTAAAGTGTTTCGTGTGGTCTATAGTGAAACCATGTGTTATACTCGGGAGTGTATTACCTGTAATAAGGCCACCATTGCATCAGGTAAAATTATTACATGCTTATAAAATACAATATCAGTGTTTGGTGAAACAAACAGTTGCATTATTTACCACAATAAAAACAGCATTATTAATAATTAAAGCGAGTCTATATGTCATCTCAAAGTAACTACTAAACTACATAATGTATCATGAAACAATCAGTCACTATATGTTTGGTTTTTGGTAATAATGAAAGCAGCGCTTGTGCTAACACAAAAAGCTTGAGTAAAGTTCATGGCACAAGGAGTCAAACAACAGGCTTCAGATATTTAAAAACCCAACAGCTGGACATGTTTACCCAGCACAAGCACTGCTTTTAGTGTATGAGGTGGACTTTATGGATCTGCATGAAAGGATTTTCACAATCCAATAACCAGTAACAGTACAAATGGTCAGTTTATGCTGACTGAAGACACAGCTGACGTTTCCTAGATCTATGTGTTTCTTTCAAAAGGTTTTCTGAAAATAGGTGATTTACCAGACACAGAAGCACACACGAGTAAACGTTGGCCTCACCTTGATAAACTAGCACTACTTATCTGTGATGCCTAATGGCAATTAATACATGAAGGTTAACATTTAGACAAATACTTTAAGATTTAAAAGCCAATAATTCTGTGCCTTATATTTTGTCCCTAATTCTCTGTACCTGGCAGTCAAATATAATTGCTATTTTCAAGTTTTTTAACCATAGAGAGAACAATATTTATTCTAAATTATAACCAGTACAACAGATAAAACTTATTCAATGGTTGTAGAAATATGTTTTGTGCCTTCTCATGCTCATTTCTTTGGCTTTTTTTAACAGAAAATGGTGATTTCCTTGCTCTGGACCTTGGCGGAACGAACTTCCGCGTGCTTCTGGTCAAGATTCGCAGTGGGAAAAGACGATCAGTGGAGATGCATAACAAAATCTATGCCATTCCCATAGAAGTCATGCAGGGCACAGGGGAAGAGGTACCGATCAGTTTTGCGTATTTGTTGCAGGAAACAGGAACAATAATCATGTTTAAATAATTCTCAGTCTTTAAAAACTGCTTATTCCATGAAAACAGATTAAACATTTATAGACATTTATAGCAATTTCTTCTCTTTTCCATCTTAATTTCTAGCTACAACAAAATCCATTTGAAACATGCAACTATCCAAATCCAAACCTGCATTGGTGCCATAAAGAATCTTTGTAACTCACATGAAAAAAAAAACACCAAAAGCCATTAGCAGTCCTGACCTTTTCTTTCTATATGATGTCTCTTTCCAGCTTTTTGATCACATTGTGCACTGCATCTCTGATTTCCTGGACTACATGGGAATGAAAAGTGCTCGACTCCCACTGGGTTTCACTTTTTCGTTCCCCTGCCATCAGACCAGCCTGGATGCAGTATGTTCCCTTTTTCCTCAAAGCAAAAACTTTACGTTGCTTTCAATCCAGCTACAACCAAATTACCAAGAATGCAAAGCATAATGTACAATGTAACGTACACATGTAATGGACACATACTTGGTTAATAAGTCGTTTTTCTGTCATGTTTAGAGAATTGTGAAATGTTATTCAGTCAAATTAAACATTATTATAATTTAAATCATTACTTATTGTTTTGTTATCTTCAGGGCATCCTTGTAACATGGACCAAAGGCTTCAAGGCCACAGACTGTGAGGGTGAAGATGTAGTGGAGCTTCTTCGGGAAGCAATCAAAAGGAAAGAGGTAATCACAGACCAGTTTGGTCACAACAACACGAACACTAGTTAATCCACTGGATTTGACAGAAAGCCCAAAGATGCCATTATTGTGAAAAGTTTGCTACTAAAAAATATGCATCATTTAGTCAAAATATACACTAAAAGACATAAAACCTAAAATACCCTAAAACCAGTAAATGGTTTCATTCAGTATTGTTAAATGATCCCAAATTTAATAGACATAAGTGTATATTTTATACCTCTGACTGCTGCTTGGTTATTGTTACAAAGAACAGCAAAACAATAAGATAAGATAAGATAAGATAAGATAACCTTTATTAGTCCCACACGTGGGAAATTTGTTTTGTCACAGCAGTCTTTGCATGGGATATTTGGTGAGATAAAAAAGGCTTTGTGTAAGCTGCACCTTTGCATCCTGTATAATGTAGGCACAGTTTGTCCCTCATATTGTTGCTTCTTTAACCCTCGGATGGTCATAGTGCAGTTTCAGCATAAACGCACTTAACCGCACTTAACCCCACCTCGTACTGTATAAACCTACAACAGAACAACAAATATGACTAATTACTCTCTCTAATAAATGACATTTTTATGAATACAGTTGAGTGTCACTGTTATATCTAGAAAATTCCTAATATCCACATGTTGCCACTTTTCGGTTTCACATATTAATTTTATTTTTTTAGATGGAGAATCCAGTAAGTATTAACCAAAGGTAAATCATTAACTAACAGGTAAAGCGGTACGAGCCTGGACCTGTTTACTGTCCTTATAGCATGCAATAACACCCAGAAGACATGCAGCTAAGAGCAGAGGTCTGGCAGAGCTCCTGAACCTTACAGCTCTTTGAAACTGCTTGTGTAGTTTGTTGTTTCGCCTGTCTAGGAGTGTGGGTTAACCGCATTGTGCTCAGTGTGGCATTTAAGATGTTTCCAGGTGTGATATTGATTCATCTGTCAAAACAACCATCCAGCAATGTTTAGTGAAAAACATGGACTTAACGCTGCTTTAACATCATCTTGGAAAAGTCTTAAGCAACAGCAGCTACCTGCTTTTCTTTAGACTGCAGGGAAAAAAATCTATATGGCTATTAATATAAGTAACCGGATGTAAACACTTCAGTATCATGAGTATGTGAATTAAAAATGTAATGAATATATTCTGGGCATTCTGGACACAACTGATTTTTTGCACGACAGATTTTTTGAATTGAAATTTGTCTATAACATGGAAAGCATACACAAGTTCTTACTGCATTATACGTGCATGTAATATTGTTGTACTTTGATGTGTAAACAATAATTCTTGTGATGTTTGTAGGAGTTTGAGCTGGATGTGGTAGCCATAGTGAATGACACAGTGGGGACGATGATGACCTGTGCATATGAGGAGCCCACATGTGAGGTGGGACTGATCGCAGGTGAGTGACACACAACCTATAACAAAAATATTTTTTCTACAATTATCTTGCAAGGTATGAAAGATGTAAGTAAATATTCATACAACAAAATGATATGTTTATGTATTTATTTTATTAAGCAAAACTACTTTTGTGTTATTTTGCACCTTAGCCCAATACTAATCTACAGTTAGAAAAGATTTGTTTTTTCAAAAACAAAAAAGAAATTTGGTAGTTCTTTTTAGATAACAGCCCTGGCTGTGTATACACTCAGGAACGGGCAGCAATGCTTGTTATATGGAAGAAATGAAGAACATTGAGATAGTGCCGGGTACCGAGGGTCGGATGTGTGTCAATATGGAGTGGGGGGCATTTGGAGACAATGGCTGTCTGGATGACATCAGGACAACATACGACCAGGCAGTGGATGAGAACTCACTCAACGAAGGCAAACAAAGGTTAGGATGCAGCTAGTACCCAACTATTTCACAAATAACAAAATAGCAACACCTGCCACAGTGCTATACTCTCCCCTCAACATTTTGGCCTGTTCAGTAATACTGGATCAAAGAGCAAACAGAAAAATATATTTAAAGGGAAAAAAAGAAAACAAATGGTATCTCTAGTTAAGAGAGCATCTTTACAGCTTACTGACACAGCTGTGTTAATTCTTTTGCATCACAGATATGAGAAGATGTGCAGTGGAATGTATCTTGGTGAGATTGTACGGCAGATTTTGATTGATCTGACCAAGCGTGGCTTCCTGTTCCGGGGACAAATCTCAGAGACACTTAAGACCAGGGGCATCTTTGAGACAAAGTTTCTGTCACAGATAGAAAGGTGGGTGAATCATTTCACACTAACATTATTTTTTTTTGCAATTATTGGTTAGGGCTGTTTTAATGCTATCAAACAATCATTATATACAAACTGTTTATCCAGGAGCAGACATTACAGAATTGTGGCGTCTAAAAAATAGTCTGTCCTATTTAAAGGTAAAATTCACCCCAACTATGTTTTTGAGCATTCAATTCAAACACAACATTCAATTTCTTCAATTAGAAGATAAAGAGCACATAAGTTGTGGTTACAGTCTTCAACCACTGCCGGTTTGAACTGATTTTCAACATTAGAGGGATCAGTTGCTTAAATAAAAAAAGATCAGTTTCTTCTCTCATAGAACTGTTACTGAATGCAGCCACCTGTTATGCTCTAGGTGATCTATGCTATGACATGGATATTCTGACAAATGTGTAAAGTTTACAAAGTTGCGCACAGATGTCAAGCCAGGAGACAGAAAAGTGAGTTCGGTACATTTACATTTACCACTCTTATCAAACATCACAAGTTAATTCAAATAAAAGTTTAGCACCAGAAGTATTTTGCATTTAATAACTACAAAAGTATAAAATTTAATTATATAACTTATATAACTTTACACAGAACACTGTTTGCTTTATACACCTCCTAGCAGGCATAGGCTCCACTGACTTTTACAGAATATTATATATTATCTATCTTGTGGATTTAGAAGATCAGAATATCAGATAAAGCTAATAGCACATAAGAAGTAGTCTATAATCCACCTCAGACAAAAAATGCACTTAGTTTGTACTTAGTTTTTTAGCTACAATATTATTGTGTGGGACAGTTTTTAATGTTCTGCCCCTACAGAATACCTGCATAACCATACAGAGGTTAAAAAAGTAATTTGTCTGATGCAGACTAATTTTCATACTGTAGCGAAATAAATGAAAACGGAAGTTAAGAAGAAAATGGTGAATACCAGAAAGCTAGAAAGAGTTAGTAGTACTGTAAAGTATCTGTGTTTATATAAAGCCTGCGGCTTAAACATGCAAAATGCTGGGAAATTAATAGTATACCAGCATGAAAACATGGGATTAAGCTGAAGTATTCAGCAAAAAGCAGTTTTTAATGAGTCACCACACCTAGGAATGATGAAGGAAGGGGGATGTGAGCACTTGAGCTTATGTGCTGTTTAAGCCTACCTTAGTCTCTGGGAACAGCTGTGAGGTATCCAATGACTCTCCTGCTGTTGGCTGACCTCTGACTCTCCCCCCTCCCACCTCTCTCCACAGCGATCGTCTGGCCTTGCTGCAGGTCAGAGCGATCCTGCAGCAGCTGGGGCTCGACAGCACCTGTGATGACAGTATTATCGTCAAGGAGGTGTGCGGCACAGTGTCCCGCCGAGCAGCTCAACTGTGCGGAGCTGGAATGGCTGCAGTGGTGGACAAGATCCGTGAGAACAGAAGACTGGACCACCTGGATGTTACAGTGGGTGTGGATGGCACACTCTACAAGCTGCACCCACAGTAAGAGCTGGGATAGGAACACAATAGAGGGCATGTTTGTGTGAAAGGAGACCCGTTCATTTTAAAATGTTACTGTATTTCATCAGTCTGCAAAGAATTACCCAAGATTACCAAACTCACTGGCCTTACAGTAGCACTGAATTATTTATTCAGTCACTAGGATGGAAAAACATTCAAAAAGTGCTGAAGGACCTATAGTCAACAAATAATATACTGGTCTTTTTTGACATTAAATAATGCATGTTAGACATTGAAAAGATAAAGCAAATTGTACGTTTGCAGATGTCCAGAATAAAAACAGCAGAAACTGTAATAAACATATTACAACCCATAAATAGCCAAGTATTAGTATGTTATAAATCAACTAAATGTACAATCTGTCTACATCTCTTAGCCTTAAAACACTTTGATCTGCTACCACTTGTGATTCTTTGTGAGGACAAATTACAACTATACCAGTTTTTTATATAAAAGATAATTTTCTGAAAAAGTACCTCAAGGCTAACATCTTCATTTGGTTGTTTGTCGAGGGGACTACTGATGGACTCTTGTAACTGGGGTTACAAATTAGGAGATAACTGCACCAATAAAAATCCAGAGGACCTCTTTTACCTCCAAGTCCACACCCTCTCGATAGGCCCGAATGAACCTCCTCACACAACTCTGTGCTGCTTCTAGTTGTAAAGTTTGAATAATATGTATGTCTGTCACCTATGCTGGAAAGCAACTGTCATTTCAAGTTCAGTAGCAAGCTGCCTCATAACCACAGTTTCCTCTTGCTCTCTTTTCTTCAGTTTTTCTCGGATCTTCCAACAAACTGTGAAGGAACTCGCCCCCAAATGTGATGTCAACTTCCTGCTGTCTGAGGACGGCAGCGGTAAGGGAGCTGCCCTCATCACTGCTGTGGGCTGCCGCCAGAGGGAGCTGGATGCCCAGCAACACTGAGCAGCTCTGTCCCAATTGTCCACAAGAACTACCTGCTGCTCCACCATGACCTTCACGCACCGCACAGCCTACATCCATTTCCCCTTGGCAGCCGTGACTCCACCTGTGCCCAACTTGGTCCACCTACAGCCAGAGAGATATACTGCATGCAGAGAATTAAAACTCAGTATCTAAATATTTATTTATACTGCACCAGATGGTTTATTATTTCCGTGTTTGTACATTTTCCTCAATAGCTTGTCAATAACCTGACAAATCTAAACTCCCTTAGGTGTGCAATATTTGTGTACTACTAGTTTTATTTTTATATGAAGCCAGATATATAATTGTATTTATATAGCTCGGGCCAATTTGAATCCCAGAGGTCATCAAGATTTTTGCACCATAGACACAAGTAAATGTCTGCACTTTTTATATGAAAGTTACAGCAGCAACATGTCAATGTAACTTCCCATATGAAGGACCTTCTTGAAGCTGAATGAAGCCGATTGTTTTTACAGGCTCCTTTGGTTGAGAAAAACCAGTTCCAAAAGGGCTCGTTGCAAAGGTTTGAATGCAAGAGTCACGGCTGTTAAAATCTCCCTCATTTTGTGTGCTACATGCTCACACAACGTGTTTGTCTACTAACCCCTTTCTGTGTAACTGTCGATGTAATTCACATATTCAAATATTCCTGCATCACCATACCATTATTCCTCAAGAGTGGACAAGGTAGAAAAATCCCCAGAGAAGTGTTAGCCCATCCTATTGCTATTCGTAAACTATTAAACTTTTGGTGTTGTGATTTATACCACTTCTACTCATTGTATGTGCAAACAATAAATGTTTATTGGGCCCCAAGAAGAGTGGACATAATGAGCGCTTTTGTGTATATTTGTAGCTGAGTGTCAGTGTGTCTTACTGTATGACCTGTAGCTTCAATGTCCAAAGCTCTATGGAGACTGCATGCCTTACATCAACACAAAGGAGGTTACCGGATCATTTTCTTTCTTTTGCTCTATTTTTTTTTAACATCATTATAGATTTGTGATCGACACAGTAAAAAGCTAATTCATTAAATTATATTTTGTTGTGGAGTAAAACCTGTGTCTCATTCTTTAGCTGTCAAGCGGGGCAGAACTGGAAATGCAGATGGTGAAGTTGGTAACAAGCTGACACATAAAAAGTGCATTAAGTTCACCATTCATCTGATACAAAGGAAGGGCTGGGCCTGTGCCATAGCTTGGTAATTATCAACTATCTTGACTAGATAGTTGACTAGACACTTCAAATCCTGTCCCCCC